GGAGTTAGAGCAAGACCTAGGGTTTTAATAAAAGTTAGATTTAACCATGAAATTGGCCATGGAATAAATTGGAAATTATATATTGTTGATCCTTAGGATGTAGAGAACAACCTCCTTCAAAAAATCTCGAAATCCGGACACGTGGGCCCGGGGTTGGATTTTAGGAAACTTGTGTTAAGGGTTGGGAAACTTCTTAAATAGCTAGAATTCGGTCTTGTGAGTCTATATTAACTAGTTCTTACTTCGTTTAACTAGTTTGTGATCGTTCAGCTCCGAATTTAGGGCTTGGACTCGTTCTTTGAATTGGAAGTGCACTTTGGAGCGAGGTGAGTCTCCTTTCTAACCTTGTAAGAGGGAATTGTCCCCATAGGTATAAAAATTGAGTAATTTGTTATTAAATGCGGGGGCTACGTACGCACTAGGTGACGAGAGTCCGTGCGGTAGCTACTATTATGTTAATTGTCCGGGTAGTTTAGGGCCCGTATCATGCTATATCGTAATTATTTCCATATTTTCTTGCTAATGTGATCACTTAGGATATGCTAGAGACTTGAAAAGAGATAAGCGAATGTATACCTTTATTGGACACTTGTATGAATTATCTCGGAAATAAATGCGCATTCATGTGTTTCCTTGAATTAAATTGATATTTGTGGATCGGGCCGATCTCCTCGGTAGAAATAGATGCATCTATGGTTCGCGACATTCGACCCTCTGGCAGTGCACAATTATTTTTCTGTTGGATCGGGCCGTCGACCTCGGCATAACGTGCGCATGACATTTATATGTGTGAAATCTCACCCATGGCTTATTCTGTAAAATATTTGAAATGTGTACGGTTAACTGCCAAATTGTTAGGGACATGACTTATTATCTCTTGTTGCATACTATTGATTAATTGTGATTATCATGCCTAGCAGAACCCCTTATTATATTATTTGACCCTAGTAAGTGTCAAGTCGACCTCTCGTCTCTACTTCTTCGAGATTAGACGGGATACTTACTGGGTATATATTGTTTGTGTACTCATACTACGCTTCTGTACTTAATTGTACAGGGTCTGAGGCAGGTACATCTGACTATCAGTTTGGTGCGCGCCCCTTATTCATAGTCCGAGACTTCCACGGTGAGCTGCTCCTTTCCTGTGGTGTTCGGTAGCTTGATGGAGTCTTTTCCTTACTTTTGCTGTCTATTCTATGTCGGACAGTAGGATAGTTTATTATTTTGTACATTCTACTAGTTGCCCATTACTTGTGACATCGGGTCTTGGCACACACATTAGTAGACGGTATCTTTTTTTTTGGGGTTGTATAATTTTATGACTTTAATAATCATTTTGATACATTATTGATCGCTTCTGGTCTTAACTTAAATTTTAGAATCTATCATATTTATTTTTGGTAAAAGAAAAATGAGAACTTAATTGTATTTTCCGCGTTGACTGGCCTGGCAATGGAGTCGGGCACCATCATGACCTGTTGTGGAAAATGGGTCGTGACAGCCTTGCTGTCAGTGTGGATGTTCACAGGAAGAGCAACTGACACTCCAATATCTTTAAACAATCCAAGTATCCAAACTAACTCTGCCACAGTCGATGCAATGCTTCTGTATTCTGATTCTGCAGAAATCCTAGAGATAGTGCTCTGCTTCTTAGACTTCCAGGACACTAGTGAGTCACCATACATAATGAAGAAGCCAGTTACTGATTTTCTAGTGAGAGGACAAGCTGCCCAGTCAGCATTACAATAGGCTGTGATTATGTTCTTCTTCTTAGTAGACAACAGTATGCCTTGTCCAGGCTTATTTTTCACATATCTGACTACCCTTTGTGCAGCCTCCATATGATATCTTTTGGGTTGCTACATAAATTGACTTAGTGTCTGTAAACTGAAGGCTATGTCTAGTCTTGTGATAGTCAGATAGAGTAGTTATCCTAGTAATCTTTGATACTTGCTAGGATCTAGTAACAACTCATCATCTGTTGTGTTGTGCATACTTGTATGTTCATCATAGTCCTTGGTGGTTAGCTTAGTGTTGGCTTCAATAGGTGTAACAGCTGGTTTTGCAGCTCCCAGCCCAAGTTCAGAGATTAGTTCCAGGGTGTGCTTCCTTTGGTGCATTAGAATGCCTTGCTGTGACCTAGCAAACTCAATGCCAAGGAAGTATTTCAGTTCACCTAGGTCTTTCATTTTGAAAGCTTGCTGCAGTTTGACCTTGACTTCTTCTAATAGCATCAGATCAGGTCCAGTGAGGAGTATGTCATCTACATACACCAGGATAACTATAGTGTGTTTGCCTGTCCCTTTCATGAACAGTGAGTGGTCATGTTGACTCTACATGAACCCAAACTTCAATAGTGCTTCAGAAAGTTTGGCATTCCACTGTCTTGGTGCCTGTTTAAGTCCATATAAGGATTTCAGAAGTCTGCATGCTGGTCTGCTCTCCCCCAGACTCTGAAATCCTTGTGGTAGAGTCATATAGATCTCATCATGTAGATCCCCCTGCAGAAAAGCATTTTACACATCCATTTGATGGATATGCCAATGTTCAGAAGCAGCAACAGCTAGAATTGTCCTAACAGTAACCATTTTGACTACAGGACTGAAAGTTTCCTGGTAGCCAATGCCCTTCTGTTGGATATAACCCTTAGCCACAAGCCTAGCTTTGAACCTCTCCACCTCCCCTGTGGCTTTGTAATTCACTTTGTACATCCATTTACAGACAATGGATACTTTGTCATCAGGCAAAGGCACCACATCCCAAGTATGGTTAGATTCTAAAGCAGTAATTTCAGCTTGCATTGCATCAACCCACCTGGGATCCTTGACTGCTTTTTCAAATGTAGTAGGTTCTACTATTGAAGAAAATGCAGCTAGATAGCATTGATACTTGGGGGAAACACCATCATAGGAGATGTAGTTGGTCATGGAATAAGGAACAGATTTGTGACTTGGACTTGTCACAAGATCCTTCAACCAAATAGGAGCCTGCTTGGTCCTCATAGATCTTCTCAGGACAATAGTGTGTTGATCAGTAGAAGGCAATAAGGTTGACACTCCTTCAGAGGCACTGGAGGGCTGCTCTAGTGCCTTCTATCTTGAGTCATCACTTGCAGGGCTTAGGTTAGTAGAGGCAGACAAAAAAGGTGTCTTTCCTGAACTGTGAGGCTCATGTGAAGTTGATATATAATATGCACCATAAGTAGGAGGATCAGATGATAAAAACACATGTGGGAGATGAAGATTGAGACTCCTTAAAGGGAAAGATATCCTCCCTGAAGGAGACATCGCTATTGATGAAGAAACAGTTAGTAGCAAGATCCAGTAACACATAACCCTTTTGAGTATCAGAAAAACCCATAAGAACAGTAGGTTTAGCCCTGGGAAGAAGCGTATCTCTTGAACTTGCTTGGCATAACATAAGCATCCAAGAACTCTCAGATGCTCCAATGTAGGTTCTTGTCCATATAGCAGCTCAAAGGGAGACAGGCCATTGAGAACAGAAGTTGGCATTCTATTGATAATATAAACAGGTGCAATAACACAGGACCCCAATATCTAATAGGAATATGTGCTTGAAATCTCAAAGCTCTAGTTACCTCCAGAATATGCCTGTGTTTTCTCTCAGCAACTCCATTTTGCTGAGGGGTATATGCACAAGTCTTCTGGTGAATAATACCATATTTTTGAAATAGATCATGACAGACAGAATTGACAAACTCAAATCCATTATCGAATCTGACTGCCTTTATAGTTTTGTTGAATTGAGTTTGAACAAAGACAACAAACTGAGTAAGAACTACACAAACATCAGACTTTAGTTTCAAGAGAAATAACCAAGTCATTCTGGTGAAGTCATCAACAACTGTTAGAAAGTATCTATGACCATCAAATGTTGCATGTTTGTAGGGACCCCAAACATCCACATAGATTAGATCAAAAGCAGCAGTACTTTTAATAAAACTATTAGGAAAGGGCAGTCTGGTTTGCTTAGCACATGGACATACAGTGCATTTATTTATGATATCAGTAATATTTGCTAGTTTGGCAGGAAACAACTTCTTAAAAACTATGCTAGACACATGTCCTAATATTTTGTGCCACAAACTAACATCAATTGTAGAGTTTCTCCTGTGTGACTTTATTCCAGCTGCAGCCAATGAGATTGCAGTGAACTTCTTGGAACCATGATTCTGCAGGAAATACAGTCCATCTCTCTCCTTTAACAATCTCCCTCACTCTGCCACTGAAGAGATCCTGAAATACACAGAAATCAAGATAAAATAAAGCAAAACATCTTAGGTCTCTTGTCACTTTGGAAACTGACAACAAGTTGCATTTGAACTGAGGCACATAGAAAACTTCTTTAATGACATTGTTGTCTGAAATATGACTATCTCTAATGTGTGTGACTTGAGTGACATCTCCATTAGGTAGTAGAACTTTTCTGGGATTAGTGGGAGCAATTAGGGAGGTTTTGGTTAATAAATTGATATCTGAAACCATATGGTTTGTGGCTCCTGTGTCAATGATCCATTCATGTGGGCTGGATGATGCCAAAAGAGCAATTGTAGTACCTGCTGCATTTGCCTGAGAAGTAGATGATGAAATGCCATTGTGATTGCTGTTCAAGATCTGCATGATTTGCTCATATTGTTCTTTGGTGAATGGAAAACCACCTCCTTGAGCTGGCTTGGCATTTGCAACACCTTGAACCTATGAAGCAGCAGGGCTAGTCTGAACCTGAGAGCTAGAGTTCCCTTGTACCTGGTAGTTTTCAGCACCCTGACACATAGCATGATGATGACTATAGTTTACAGGCAGTGACTACAATGGCATATGTTGAGAGGCACTTTCAGCATATAAAGGCATGGAGTAACCAGGTTCTACCATTACATTGTGTGCACTGGCTCCCCCTTTCTTCTTGAAGTTATAATAAGAGGGATAGCCTATTATTTTATAACAATTCTCCTTACTATGAAAATCACACTGAACATTATAGTTCTTTCTAAACTTTGGGTTAGAGTTGGACTTAGCACTATAGAGTGTTGTTGAGTCATAGGTATTATAATTCACAATAGGAGGAGGACCTAAGCAACTACAGCCTGTTGACTCTCATCACTCATAAGCATTGCATAAGCTTGATTTACTGTTGGTAAAGGCTTCATCATAAGAATTTGAATACGAGCTTGTGAGTAGAAGTCATTTAGGCCCATTAAAAACTGATATACCTTTTGTTTTCGTAGATGCACAATAAACTCCTTTGTTTTGGCACAATCACACCCAGGGGTAGGTATTATAGACTCTGATTCATCCCAAAGGTCTTTAAGTTTTGAGTAATAAACAGAGATAGAGGAGGTAACTTGACACAAAGTGGTTGTTTCCTTGTGTAAATTGTAGCAGCGAGTATCGTTTACCTTATCAAATCTCTCCTGCAGATCCAGCCACACTGTTTGTGCACTAGTGGCATAAGCTATACCACTAATTAGTGAAGGAGCAACTGAGTTCATCAACCACGATAGTACGATGGCATTACACCTTTCCCACTGGTACCAATACTTGTCGCGAAATCTCTCCTTTGGCCACCTGCCATCAACAATTCCCAGCTTATTGCGACCTAGTAGAGCAATTCGCATAGATCGATACCATAAGGAGTAGTTATATGTTCCAGTTAACTGAAATGAAATCAAGGAAATGCCGCTTGTATCACCAAGAGCAAGGTACATGGGATGAGTAACCGCTACTGTAACACCTTCCTCAAACTCATCATCCGATGAAACATGCGATGTATTATCAGCAGTGATAGTTGCGTTTTCATCATCAACTGCCATTGTTGAGTTATTTGAAGCTTTTGATCCGAGAAATTGAGATCACAATTAACTAAAAACAAAGAATAACAGCTGAATTTAGAGCAGAGAAGAGGATTAGGATCGATTTTGAGCTTCGATTTAGAGCTCAAAGCTCTGATACCATGCTGAAGTTTATGGATTGAGTGCAGTAAGAAACCCTAGCTGAGAAGGAGAAGAGAGACGAAGAGAAGAAATGAAAGAAATGAATGAAACAGTAAATATTTTTCATTCTCCTCTTCTGATCTGTACACTAGCCCTTATATACAATGAGCTAATATAACTTCTAACTAACCAATCACTTACATCATTAACTTCTAACAAACTTAACTAATCCGCCCATGTATGAATAGACTAAACTACCTTTCATGCTTAAGTCACTCCTCTTTCCTCAACAGTATCCTGGATTATAATTATATGAACCTTGGAAAACATTAATTTAAATATGAAATAATTACAGGGTATTATAGGTGGGGCACTTCCTCAATTAATCTTAGCCTATATTCTTTTCCTTTTTAAATCTAATTTAGTCTATTTTGTATATCATTTGAAATGTCTTTTCACTATTAATAAGGTTTTAAGAAGATTTGTGTTAGAAACTGATATGAGAGTGATATTCATATTTTGTCATCAAGATTTAAACAATTATTGGGTGAATTAAAGTGAAAATTTAAAACTTTATTGTTGAGGTTTTTAAAAGTTTGAAAACGCATAAATGAATTTTTTGATTTGTTGAAATTTTTGACAAATTGATGATTGGAGTTTGTCGTGGATATCATTTTGAAGTTGGGGTTAGAATTTGAAGCTATTCTTTCAAAATTTGAGCTATTTGGTGATGCTTTTCGTGATTTGAAGTTCGTAGGAGGTGAAATCCAATTTTTGTATACAATATTACCAACATTATAATAGGTGTATAATATTGGAGGATGGGTATCAGTAGGTAATATTAGATCAATTCTAAAAAAAATGTACATTAAATACCTAATTTGACGGAGAGAGCATGGGTTCACGTGCCCCATACATTGGGCTATAGATCCGCCCCTGAAAAGTATAGGAAAGTCTGCTCTAGTACTTAATGCAGGGGGCGGGGGCAGGGGCGGGGGCAGGGGATTGGGGTTGGGGTTAGATGTGAGGGTAAGTGGAGTTTTTGAAAAATGTTTTCCTAACTTTAATTTTTCTAGGGAAGTCATTTTCCTCCAATTTCAGAAAAATGTGATATCTAGGAAAATATTTTCCTGACTGTTTTGTGCAACCAAACAGTGGAAAACGGGAAAATATTTTTCGCCATACCAAAAAAACCCTATTTTTCTATTCCTTGAAGGAATGACAATATATTTACCATAATTGATTTACCTTTTACAAAAAGAAATGTAATTCTTCCATTTTTGACTAGTTCTTTTTCTTGGAGGAAAAGATTTTTGACTCTATAAATGAGTATCATTCCTTCCCATTTATTAGCATCCACAATGTAGTTCCTAAGGGATTCGAGAGTCTTATTTAGGGGGGAGAATTTGTGAGACGAGTGTAATGTTTTCACTTGTATGTTCCTCTTTGTGAGGTTGTTCTTTCGATATGTTGTACTCTCTTTTATATAGTAGATTGCTTATCTCTATATGTGAACGTAAGTTAATTGACCAAACCATGTTAAATGTTTGTGTATTTTTTGGTATATTTCTCTTTTCTTATCCAATTTATCGTCGTTCAAGATTTGCTTTATTAGCTTCCGCATGGCACTAGATTATTTCGATCCTAACATGGAGCCTTACTTTCTCAGTTCAGAACCCTAATATTAATTGTAATTTCTATTACGATGATTCCAACGCTAGTATATCCTATGATAATACCCTTCTTTGGAATGCTAATGAGTTTAAGTAAATTCAATTAAAATGGAAAAGCTAAAACGTCAATTTAACCCATGAGCGGAGCTAAAGGCAGAATCTTGGTCGAGAAATTATACTCCCTATATTTCACTTTATATGGCACTTTTTGCTAATTTATAATTAATTTAACTAATCTTTAAAATTAAATATGATTAGTTCAGTTTAATATTTTAAAATTACAACTAAAATATTCAAAAATTATACGAGAAGTACTATAAGTTATAATTTTATTCTGATAAACAAATATATGTTAAAATATTGTTCAAAGACACAATTT